TACCTTGTTTTCGGCCATCCTCACCATGGGTTGCCAATCCAGCTAGGTCTGGCAGCCTGCTAACTCGATCCATCTCTTCCTATCTTCCTACTCTCTCTCTGCTCTGGTTTCCTCCCAGAGTCACCTCCTGTAATTGCATCCTCCTGGGAATTTTTGAAGACATTTCTAAGTGATTTCTTAAAATTTCTAAGATTACCGAAAGAATGTGTGGAGTCGTGCACTTTTGGCAATATTTAAGAGCAGGTCTAACGAGCGCTGGGCTTGCAGTAGTTTTGACGGTGGTGATTCTGCCTGGAGCAAGGGGTAGGGAGAGACTCAGGAGGTCATCTAGCCCTGGCACTACTTTTCTATTATTTTGTCTTCCTGTTTTCCCCTCATTGTTTTCCACTTGGCTTCTTGCCCTGAAAACGCATCCTTAGCATTCAATACGATTTCCTGTCCTCCTGCATTTTTTTTTCATGCCCAAACCTACACCACCCTTCATCTTTCTATTTGGATCTTCTAACTCTTCTGGTTTGACACGCAGCTTATGCAATCGCTCCTCGCTTCATCTCTTCTCGGCTTCCCAACAATCACCCTTGAAAATTCAGTTCTGTCTCATGGAAGGGGCTGAAATCCATGTTTTGTTACATCCAAGTTTCCCTAATTTTACTTATAAAATACAAGCTTTGCAAAGAGCAATTTTTCCAACTATTAGTTGGTCTAATAAAAGACATCACATCTACCCAAAGAGCCTTGTCTGCCTATGTCCTTAGACCAACACAACTATAACCAACACCCCCTATCATTTTATTTCTTCTGCATACAACATCCATGGTCCTTGTACACTCTCTTAATCCAGCCCAGATCGTTTTTGCTCACATTTAATCTCTCCAGTTCATCCTATACCTATTGTAGTGGCATATTATCATAAACTTTCTCATTTTTTGATGAAGAGAAATTGCTTCTGTACCCCCAACTCTTTGCGGTCAACTCTCTCTTAAGAAATATGAAGTCTCACATTGATTTTGCCCCCTGAAAGCCCATGTTGTTCTCCTCTCAGTCACTCTTTAGTCATCTAGGGAATCCAGCCAAATAGGAGCCCTGAAATATCTTTGCAAAGTGATGCACAATATTTTTCTCTGATATTCATTATTCTTTTTCCTAACCTTTTTCTTCCAGATAGGCACCAGGACTCCCTTTTTTCCCCCCCAGTCTTATGGTAACTCCTTTCTCTACCAAACAGTTTTGAACACCGTCCAGCCATTGTATCTTTACTTCCTAACTACTATGCTCCTGTTCGCTATTCATCCATACCAACAGCACCTCCCTTTTTCATCTTTGTGGTCCTTTTCATGTACAATTTTTCAAAATGAATCCTTCCAGACTCTCTCATCTTATCCCAGCTGCATTCGTAACCACCGTGCCATTTTCACCTTGCATATATCTAGGTTCGTTGGTCCGGGATCTCTTTTAAGTCACCTGCACAGGAGGTTTTCATTATCTGGCATTTCCATTTTTTCCCCTCCTAGTCTACAACATGAATCCTTCCACACTCTCTTTTTGCCCTGAAAACACATTATAATGCTCTAAGCCAACCTACGGGAATGAGAGGAGAATGGGAAGGGGTGCGGATGCACTTGCCCAAACCCTGTTGCAACACGGGGGCAGTGTGGTCCTCGTGAAGATGGTAGCTCCAGGAAGTTTTGCCCACAGGATCCCCGACGCCTGGGTTGGTCTCTAATCTGGGTGTGGCTCTACAATACCTCGGTCTCCATCTCAGCCCACAGTTAAACCATAGTGACGCCTGTGTTACCGCTGATATTTCCCTTTGCAGCAGACAGAAAGTCCCTGAGCCAACACCCCTGGACATCAGCGGAGAGGTGACGTGGGTGAACGTGGAGACAGGCCGTTGCTCATTGCTCTTGTCCAGTGCTCATCATCTCACGTGTCAATTATGGCAATATCCTTGTCTGACAAAGGCAATCTTGGCCCCTCTTCAAAGAGCATTGGCTGAACATATCACAATTCTTGGTGCATCCTTTCGCCGGGTCAGACGTTACCGAATTTCCTTTCCGAGACCTTTTCCTTCATGACCTCACTTGACCCGCTCTTTGCTGGCAGAGCTTCACCGCTGCTTCTGGCCCAGGATACCGGCCGCTCTTGTCCACCTGCTTGGTTTTCAACTCAATGCTTTCCTGCTTCTCTCCTGCTGACTCTCACACACGGGACCAGCAAAGCCCCTTCGATGCTGTCCTCCAAAACTCACCGACACGATAACTTGGCAGTGGTTCGGTGGCCGGCATGCTGGCGCTGGGCTCATCAATATTGTCCCTAGCACTTGCTCATCTGTCCAGAGCCAGCTCTTGTCTTTTGTCTGCTACTTTAACTCCAGCACTTGGATCATGATGGTGGCCCCAAAATAATCCCGATAATACTGGAGGTCAGTGCTGTGTGCTAGGGGTGGTTCACTAGCCCTTGACGAAGGCTCAGCATTTCTTTTTCTTGCTGCTGCGAGTCCTTTCATGCTCTGAAACGGGACGGTCTGGCTACAGGCAGAGACAATCCCCATAGGCTGCATACAATTATATTTGGGGTTTTTTCCCCCTCCTGAGTGAATTCCTCTGAGGATCACTCGAGCTGCTGCTAAAATGCCCATCTTTCTTCTGACCCAAGTATCATTTTCTGGTTGCATGATAACGCGTGTGCATTTGACAAGCTGAGCGGACAGGGAATAAACAGCTATTACAGGTCCTACTTCCAGTGCTGAGTGTTTATCTAAAGTCTCTGAGGTATTAGGAGCCTGCTCTCATGGCCATTTATGTCAGTAGATGCCTTGACTAAGGCTGCTCTTTGCAAAATGACATCTCCCTAGCTTGTATCGTGTGGGTGGTGGTGTCCTGGGTGTTGCTGTCTGCCCCTTTAATGACCAGTGACCCATGCAACTCTGACTAAGACAGAAATATATGTGTGACTCAGGGCTGCCACCCTGAGAAATAGCTGAGAAATGCTGCAAAATGAGGGTTGCGAGGTGTTGGGTGGGTGGAGAAAGCAGGGGCTGGGTGCATGGTAGGACCGTGAGTCAACACGCCTCTAGTCCCTGCATCCTAGCGAAGCAGCACTTGACAGCCCAGGGTGTGGGACCCGCCTGCGAGGCTAAATTCTTCCCCCAAAGAGCAACATTAACAGAAAAACCAAGCAAAAGACCCTCAAAAGATCATCCAAAATCACCCTGCTTCGTCTAGGGGAAATGAGAGGGAACGCACCTTTTCTCAGCGCTCTTTGTATCCCTTTGCTCTCTTTGCTCTTTTGATCTCGGGCGAGGGAATCTCATGTAGAAACAAACCCTAGTAGGGTTGACATCCAGCTCTCATCAAAGCCCATGAGAGTTTTCAACCAGTTTCCTGATCCCAGCTTACACTTGCCCCAAAACACCTTATCCGGGAGGCAATCAGATCAGTAATTAGATGTTATCAAATTGGAGTGCCCATTATAATAAATGTTATATTATTTGTCATGTTGATAGTATACAAGTACAATTGGTATTTTATATCATTGAATAGATGAATCATTAATAATAACACACGTCATGATTAATGGTAAATATTCATATCATAAATAACACAATATCAATAAAATCAGGCAAAAGTCATGAGATGTCATAATAACCTGTACGACACTCTCCTATGGATGTGAACATCAAGATTTTTCACTTGAATCCTAACATTACCACCTGAGGGCTTTCAGGCATGGATACGTGTTAATAAGCCCTTGCAATGAGAGCTGGTGTAGGGCTCTACTCTATCTCAACAGAGACAAAAAATGCATACATCAGGGAAGAGCTGTCATTCAGCAGTGTTTATTATCAGTCTACCAGGGCTGTTTTATGGGCGAACGCTTCATATATCTCTTTCCATCAGAAATTACCCAACAGAGGAACAAAGGAGGAGATCTCTTCCGAGTTCTGCAGGAGCGACCCGAAGCCCTTTGCTGACATGCTGGTAATGCAGGGCTCAAACCCAATGGTAACTCTACACAGACCTCGGAGCTACGTTTGCCAGGACCTTGCATTCAGTGCACCAAAGAAGCTAAATCCCCATGTCCAAAAATCTTAAAAGAGCCCAGCTAGCCAGAAGGCATAGCTTTGCCCTGCTCTTCATCCTGACATAGGTTGCTATCAATGGGAGTTCGGTGCATAGGTCAAGAAGAGAAGATGCCACCGCTTCGATGTGTTTTTACCCACTGGTGAAGCACCGGACCGGGTTACCTAGAGAGGCTTGGTTGGAAAGCTTTAACGACAGGTTACACGAACGTTTGGATGTGTTAAACAGGGATGATCTGCCTTGAGCAATGGGTTGGACTCTGCATGCCCCCCAGCCTCCGTCTCTGATCCCATGCACCTGCCAGCTCCCTGACTGTACTTTTCAGGACAGCCAAAATTAGCAAATCCACACGAGCTCTCTTTATATTGCCAAACCTTTACATTCCCAATGATGATAAGGTGTGTTAGGCACTCAGAATCTGTCCTGTAATTTCACATGAAGCTTTGAAAAGCCAAGAGCCCCACCCTGGCTTATACAGTGAAAAACAGCCCTCCAGTGTCTCTCAGTTTTCAACCCCATGCAGAGGAAGAGGTGACCAAGAGCTCAGAGGTATGCTCTGATTAAATAGCATGCTCTGCCTTTGTTCTGTGGAATTTGGTATTTTATTTTGACGATGAGTAGTCTGTTTGCTTTGAGAGATGCACGGCAGCAAAGTTTTATTTCCTAATACTTTAACCCCTCTGCACATATCACAGTCCTTGCACTTCCAAAAGTGCTGTAAGCTCAGTGTTGTATAGCTGTTTTGTGAGGGGCAGCCAGTAACAGGGTCTTTCGACAGGCAAACTGTTTGAAGAGGGGTCTTGCTTGTTTTTAGTCTTGGAAAGCAAAGTTTGGCACGTGCTGAGACTGCCATTAAATATCATTTCTGTAAAACCTGTTTGATTTCTCTTTGCTGGGTGCATGGATTGAACAGTGTGGATGGATGCTAAGGGAACCACTGCAGCAATGATGGCTATACTCAGAGGGCTGAGCTTGCTTTTTTTGGTTGGTAAGTACACTTATTTAAATCTATAACCCCCTTGCTATCATATTCTCCCGAGCTGCTACTATTGAAGGAGCCATCTATGAAAGCAGTTCTCCGGGGAGCTGTATTAAAAGCTCATTTACAATCATTTTGATTGTTTCTATTAAAAAAAAAGAAGCTGAATCACTAGATTTTGCTGCTTGGGGGTGGGTGCGAGTGTAACAGTATCCTCAAAATCTGTTAGTTGTTTTAATGAATAAAATAGCCCGGACTCGGTCAGAATTCCTTCCTATCTTAATTTTAAAGGAGTGACCTTGATCTTCTTGACTTAGGAGACGCTTTGGGTTCCTTCCCACCCTAAAATTCTGGGTTCTTACTCACTGTTACAGTATCCACCTGGGAAAATATGGACTTAAAATGGTGCTACCTGAATTGCATCTTGCTGTATTCCTCTATTCTCATTTTTTTGCTATTGAGCAACATTTGTCTCACCAACAGTTACTTCTGGGTTTTTAAAAAAATATTCTCAGTTCCTTACTGAATGTAGGGTCTTGCTTGTGATACCACGCTGTAGGGATTCTGATGTTTGCTGGGGCGCGGATACTTAACGATGGAGAGAGGCGGTTTTCCTGGTAAATAGCGGCAGTCGTCAAAAAGAAAGGAGGGAAAGACGGCAGACATGTCACATTTATTTATTTGCTGCTGTTTTTGATTTGAGAAGTTGCTGCAACCATCCTGTATTGTCGACACGCTGGTGACCACTAAAAGGAGTGCTCCCAGATCTCTTTCCCATATAGCGAAACATTTCTTGCTCCATCCGAAGCATGAGCTGCTGGTTAAGGGCTGCAAATCAATGATTTTCCAACGTCTAAGTGGGTCAGACAGGACACCTGGGTCCATCCCCAGCTCGGTTAATGACTTACAGTACAACCTTGAGCAACTCAAGGCATCCAAATATCTCCACTCCATCACCCCCATCTCTCTTACCCTCCCTGGGCTAGTAGGTGCTTCTGGGCAGGTGGCTTCTGTCAACTTCCCCCAAAAAGTCTCGGAGAAGGATTTCCCTCAAATTCTTGCAGTTAGCATTGACAAGGAGCCTTTTTATTTACGGCCTCGCCAACATTTCCTGTTGCTCTGTTTTAAACTTGTTCCTACTAGATTTATCCCGTGGGGTACCCGGAACAAAGTTAGAAAAACAAACCAGCAGAAGCAATGCCAAGAAAACTCAGAGCCATCGGGCAGTGCACATTGCTAGCCTATGCGACTGCAGGAGCTTGCAACCGCTAACGTTGGCCCTCCTGAGTCTTTCCTCTACGGGGTTTATTGCTTTTGCTTGTTCCATCTGGCCTAACAGCAGGGCAGAAGCTCTTCTGAGCAAGATCTGACTTTTGTGCTTGTAGGAAGAGGGGCTCTGATGTTGCTTGGCCCCTACTACAATACCTGGATGAGACTGGTCTCATAACCCATCACGACCTTAGATCCACTTCTGACAACTGGGCTTTGGCAAAGTTTGTCGTCTGACAAGGGGCTCTGTGGATAAGTTAACCTACTAAGAAATGATTGGAGATCAGAGGAAGAAGGTGGGAGATGTCAGGGAGGTTGGGAGCTAGATACCTGACTAATAGAGGCATTAAAAACAATCCTGGGTACCATTGACAGGTAGCTGGAATACCGACTTAATGTTGTAGAGCAAAGTCAGAGAAACACTGCCAAGGCCATCAGAGTGGGAGGAGCAAGACGGAGATTAAGGAGGACAAAGTGGGGTGAACTTGCTCAGACCTGCCATGTGCCAACACAGACAGGTGGCTTTCTATAACACAAAACCCCTGTGACGCTCTTGGGAAAATCTGTAGCAATGTTTGTAGGGGATTAGGCTGGTACTTTCTGCAATAACACAAAGGCCTGTGGAGGTGGGTGCTTGTCAGACAAAGTCAGAAAGGGAGGAGGGTGTGAGACCTAGACACAGGATTAGGCACAGCCGAAAAGATTAAGAGGTGAGGACAGGGCAGAAGACAAAGGCTGTTCCATCCTACAGCTTGCAGCGGTATCCCTCACCATCAGCCAGGCAACACCCAAGTGCCGTCCATCCCCCCTGCCGGCACTAACTGCCCATCCCTCACTGCAGTCTCAAGTGAGCGGCCAGGTGAACCTTTGAGACTGAGCACCCTGTGTCCCCATCACGGTGGAAGCCTTCAAGTCCTGGTGGAGGATCATTGGTAGGAAGCCACAGATCTAGTATGAGAAAAGCAGTGTTAAAGTTTGAACATGCTGTGAGCACGCACACGTTAAGGATTAATACCATTTCTTGCCTGCACCGCTCTGAGGGCTGTCGAGCACAGGCATGGTTAGGGACCGGGACACCTGGGTTGTATCCCTGCGCTGACGGAGGGGGTGAGCCGGAAGCAAAGCATCCTGGATGCTGGAGGACTGCAAATTGCTCATTTTATCTCCATGGAGCAGACTGAAATTACCCTAACATGAGCTAGGTAGCATTGCCCAGAGATAACCCTCTCCTAAAGTTGTGTAACTTTGAGATGCTTGGAGGGCCACTTAGACTACACTAAGGGCACTTAAAACACGAACGTTCCCACATTACAGCTTGTTAATCTGTGCTAAGTGTAACGTGCAACTGCACTTTAACTGGCTCCAGAGTTTGTCAGTAGGTAGAGGAATACTCGCATACACACACGCGAAGCCTGCATGCAGGTGCACATGCCCATGGCACGGCTAGAATACAAGGGGAAAGGGGATTGCACAAGTAGAAGTGAGCCTATAAAATATTGTACTAGTGATAGAAAGCGAGGGAGAAGGGAGTGAAACGAGACTGATCTTCCACAGTGGCTTGAGGGCCGACAGTTTTATAGGAAGGACCGAGCTGCATGCCTTGTTGGGAGGGCACCCTTGATTCTGTAATAAAATCATGGCTTATCTTTTCAGGTGGGCTGATGGCTGCGGAGAATTCAGCTGTGACGTATCGAGTAAGAGGAATGCAAGCTCTCTCCCTTTCTCTCTCCTCCTCCTCCCACATATATACACAGGGTCTCTTTATTCCCTTGCAAATGATGCCTGAACTGCAGTCTGGTGTGCTTCCCATCCTGATTACAATTAATAGAAATTAGGAATCGAAGCCAGATTTTCTCCTTGGAGCTTGGACATGGAATCTAAACTTCCCACATCTCTGCCTCCCATTGCACAGTTTGTTCTGTTTTTAATTACAAAATGTCTGCTATAGCAAGACGTCTGCACAGTCCAATAAACTTAGATTTGTGTTTGCTTTGGTCTTAAATGGAATAATCCAGCCCTAGGTTGCAGGCATGCTCACAGAGCTTTTTACTTGGAGAAAAATATGAGCTGTGCTCTATGCAATGATGCATCTCACTCCCTGCACCCCCCTTTTCAAAATCCTAGATCCACCCATGCTCCAATGTTAGAATAAGCTTCCCAGCTCTAATTGCCAAATTGGTGCATGTGAATCCTGGATCCAAACCCAAATGCTTGTGGCTTGTGCTTATGCCTGTATTAAGCAGTCCCCGAGGATTGTAACCAGTCTCTGAGATCATGTTCTTTCTTTTTCTCTCTGCTCAGTGCACCAGCAGCCCTGTCAATGGTAAGTCGCTATATAATTCCCCATGCAAAGATTTTGGATGAGTCCTGATCATGCCTTTATTGCATTAACTCCAGCTTTGTGTCTCTTCCTTTTTTTGAGCAGAAGCTGACATTTGTGCCTCAGTGAAAAGGTAGGAGCTTGAGCTGCTTGCAAATTCTCTCTTATCAAATGGGTTTCTTTTTGAATGACACGGGCTTGCAAAGGGGCCTGGCTTTGGATAATAAGAGCTGACATTTATGCAGCACCTTTCTTCCTGGATGGTCCCTGGGTGCTTTACAAAATAGGGGTGACTGCTGATCAGGGAGAGGAATCAAACCAAGATCATTTAGAGAAGTGCATGACGGACACAGGCAGACTCTCCTTGGCATGGCAAAGGGCACACTTTGCAGTGAGTTGTGCTACCTGAGCCTCAGGGCTGTGTTCAGAGCTCACGGGGATCTGAGTATGACCCAGGCTGAATAACTATTAGAGCATGTATCCGAAACCTGAACGGGCCAGATCTTTGCAATCGCTGAATCTGGCTTCTGTAAGGGTATCTGTTATTTCTAAGCATGAGCTGAATAGCTTCAGCAAAGACTTCCCAGTAGATCTGATGTTCACTTTGACTACTTGGCATCCAGTCCATTTGTTGTTTGGGTGGTGCGGGTGGTCATTGAGGTTGGAGGACTGAACTCTTTTTAAAAAGAGCTACTCAGCTATTCAGCTCACACTTAGAAATCAAGGATTTTTGAGTGAATGCAATTTCCTGCCCTGCTTTGAAGATTCACAAGCATTGGGATGTGAGGCTTTCCTTTCCCGAGCTCTTTGTGATGACTCTTTTCCTCTTCGGGCTGTTGTGCCCTTCGGCACTTTGCATCCAGCGAGGTTGAGACAAACACTGAGGTGGTTATTATTTCCCCGCAGTGTCAGCAAGGAGACGCTCCTGGAGATAGCCAGCGGCAAAGCCTCCCCCTGCAGCCTCACTTTTGGCCAGTACGCATGTGCACAGGTAAAGACGGTCCCTATATTTCCATAAGCTAATGGATATATTTCAAAGAAATGAGCAGTGTTGTTTAGTCTGAAAGAAACCCCACCAGCTCCCTGGGCACAGTGGCATTGGGGGTCACCGCAGCAGGGCACAGGTCCCCAAAGAGGACTTTGCACTTGTCCTTGTTGAACCTCATGAGATTAAATGTCCAGTGCCATCATCCAGCAGGTCCTGAACACAATCTAGGATTCTTTTTGTCAGGAAAAAAACTTCCCTGCCTCATACCATACCTTGATTGTAGGAGGACACAAACAATGGTTGATGTCTGTTGGGATGCCAGGTCAAATTTGGAGGCATTAGAAGGAGTCTCAGCTGCTGTAACTTTGGGTGGGTGAGGAGTGGAAGAGGTCCATTAGCTCCCCCACTTTGCATTACTCTCATGTTCACGCGTTGGTAAGTAGGGCTATGGGAGTCTGAGTTAATGGATGAGACTTGATACTGCAGCATCGCTGAACGCAACCTATCATTTCTGAGCCTCACACCATGTGTATTTTCCTTCTCTTTTTTCCAGAGCTCTGGACTCCAGGCTTTTAAGGATGATTTCCTCATGTCCCTGTATCCCTGCCTCAGCTCCAAGCCCATCAGCACTCTGGATCCCATGCTTTCCATCTTGCTCTTTTCCAAATTTGATGCCAATGTGCTTGCAGATACCCTGGAAAAGTTCAATAAGCGGGTAGGTCACATTTGTCTGGCGGTTAATTCCCTGTAAACGTGACCTCCTATGGAAGGCTAGTCAGCCAGCTACAAACGGGGGTGGGCAGATAACAGGCGGTCCGGCTACTTTAACCATCATCACATTGGTGTTAGAATAGGAAAGTTGGCACCATTTCAATTAACGCATCTCCCACGATGCACGTAAGCTCCCAGACTCCTGGAAATAAACTCAGAATATTGCCCTCACACAGCAGTTTAAGTGACCAAGAGTCCTGGCACATCTGCAATGTTTTCCACTAGCTGGTAGCATTGGAGCTGGCTGAGAATTTTCCAACATTAAATGTGGATTTGGTGGCATTTATACCATCCACAGGCACATATTGCTTTGGAAAACTCAACAGCAACCATGCAAGGAGCCAGAGTCCTCCGGGCAGATGACCGGCCAGGAAAGTGCCTCCAGATGGAGGCAGGGGCTTGAGGAGTTGGCTCAGCTAAGGACAAGGTTTTGTTTTGCCCCCCTCAGACTCAAGTTTTTACAACTTTTCACTCTGAAATGAAATGAAGGATTTTTGTTCCTCTACAGAAACATTTTTGATTGTTGGAGGGAAGGAAGCACACTTCCATCCAGCCTTTTTTATGGTCATTTGTACTGGCCATAGTGGGCCACGGGTCCCGGGAGACCATGGCCCCATTGTCTGTGCAAAGAGGAAGACGCGGCGCCCATTGGAGGGCACTCCTGTTGCCAGTCCTGATCCTGCTCATGGGTGCGGACGTCCGTGCAGATTTGCACGTGTGGTCATTTAAATGCAACGTCCACACGACTCAACCTGTTCCCTCCTTGTTCCTTCTTTGCAGTTTTCTCACATGCCTCTCTCGCAAGACTGGAACGTGGTCTTCTTTAACGGCATCTGGGAGAGGATGGCGCACATCACCAGCCTGTCTGCTTTGTCCCAAAGGCTCCACACGAGCCTTCAGCCGTTCATGGCCAACCCCCGGGTATTCGCTTGTCTCCGCGCCATGAATGTCTCATGCAAAACGTTCTGCAACATGTGAGTGCCGAGCCCAAATCTAGCTCTGCGGGGATGTGGCTGGGGCAGGACACTGGCCTTCGTTCCATCCTCCAACAGCAAAGACCCAGCTCCTGATCTGGTGTGAACCAATGCAGATCCATTGACATCTCTGGAGGGGGGACATGGCCCAAAGCCCATAGTGATTTACTGACCTTTGGTCTAAGCACTTATCAGAATTGCCAAGACTCTTGGCAATTCATTGCTATGAAATACTTGAAAGTCCCTGCCCTTAAACAGCAACATCCAAACCTCATTGTAGTTTATTAAGGGCAAGGTAGGTTATAAGCAAGAGGTCCAAATGTTTGCAATGATTTGAAAAGAAAAGTAGGTCTAAAAAAGAAAGAACATTATTTATTGGTCTGGATTGTACATGGTGAGAGAGGGATGATGAGCAGGGAGGGTCAGGATTAGGTTATGTCTGGACAACAGGGTTCGACGTCATGGACTACAGTAAAGGGTTATGCTTTCTGCATTTAGATTTTTTTTCTTGAAGTAGCTCCAAACTGTCACGTAAAGCTGCTTCTGTGACAAATCCAGCTGGAGTTTGAAACACCTCCTTTTCTTTTCCTTCTCCTCCAGAGTTGCAGCCCTGAACGGCCTCTATTCCAAACTCCCGGCAGAAGAACGGGGGAATATTTATAAGGGACTCAAAAGTTATCTCACAAAAAACGGTAACTTCTTTCTACTGCAAACACAACCTGTTGGACCAACACAGTTTAAAATGCAAACGTGTGTCATGACATTGAGCGCAAGACGGCCGAGGCCTACTGGCTTGACAGTCATCAACATTGTCCCTTTAGTGGTTGGGGGATGTATAAGAAGTCAATTGATACCTGCTTATATGCAGCATCACAAACAGATTTCTAGCCTGGAAGCCTTGATAACACAGGGTCTGCAGTCCAATGAACACAATCCTGTGCTGAGTTACACTTTACACCACAAAACTCATTGCATTAGGTGCAGAAAGTCCGAACAGAACTTGGCCCTGCGGGCTAAAGACACAGATCTGCTAAGCCAGTGCAGAGAAGGGAATCAGCTGTAATTTTAAGAAGAAATATAAAAAAAAAGGGGGGGGGATGAATTATCCAATGTCTAATTGTTTCTGTGAAACAGCCAATCATGAGTGTTTAGACTCCAGACTATACCTAACCTGCACACACTAATTCCTTTACATATCCAGAACTGTATAAGGGCTAAGGATTTGCTAATTTTAATGGCCAAAACCCCTGGGGTGCCCTCCGTTAGCTGATTTCGGCGTGCAGCTCCGCAGTAGTATAACGTGTTGCCCGTGTTTTGCAGGATCAAAAGCGATCTGCTACAACACAGCTGCTCACGGCCTAAATTCCACCGCTTGGTTTGCTGATTATTTGGGTTCCTTTATGGAGTACGTCACCGTGGGAGACCTGCGGCTTTTTGCTGATGAGCTGACTGTAAGTATGAACGGTGGACGGGAAACTTCGGTGCACAAAATATGAGCTGATTCGGATTAGGATAAGAGCAACCAGTCCTGTAGGACTCTGATAGCTCATCTTCCAGTCGTGCCAAAAGCCAGAGAGGGTCAGACATTTGAAAAATTTTAAATTGTTTATTGCAAAGGAGCAGTTGATTTATCATCTGCATCCAGCTGGGGTTGTCCATGCCTCATTGTAGCAGAGGAAAATTGGTGTATGTGCCTTGAACTTAACCTCGGGGTAGGTCATTTGTAGAAACCAAACTTGGAGCTGATAGGTGCAAAAATGATCCTTAAGTCAAGACCGGATGTTCATGTAAAAGCCATGCTATAGTCGGCATGTAGGACCGATGCCGGCGTTAGCGATTGAGGTTTGCTGGTCTGGGTTGTGCAGAACAGACGAGACAATTATAACGGCTCCTTCTCAGCTATGAATATGATCTTGAATGTATTCTCAGCTTTTAATATTATCCTTCCTCTTTCAAAGAAACTGGCTCTGCTCCCTCGTGTCACGTCCTGAGCAAAGGGAATGCAGCGAGAGCCGCACCCGCTGTAACTTTGCTTTTCCTTCCAAATGGGACTTGGTTGTTAAAAAAGCACAAAGAGAAATAGAGGGGCTTGATTTTTGGGGATGCCGAGCATGCGTTGCTCCCATGAACGTGACTCCTGTGAAAATTACACTGCTGTCAACTTTATTGGGGGTTTTATCAAAACTCCCCTCAAACCTGACGCTTCCCTGAAAGTCCCTGGAGACTGCTGTTGCATGAGAACCGCAGCTTTCCTTTACAGCATTTCCAGTCCTTTTTGGAGAAAAGTTTTAAAAAATCTGATCCAACTCCCCTGGAGGCTCAGAAACCAAAAAACGACCCCACAAATCCTTATTATTAGGACACTCCTCGTGAGTTTTAAAGCCCAATTTATGATTTTTTTTAACGTGTGAAGTTGGCAGTACTGAAAGCAGGTCCAAATTTTGTGTTGTCACTGCTTAGCAGAGATGGATGCTGGGCTGGTGGGTTTCCAGGGGGTGGTGGTGGGGCTCCCTGCCTGCTCACATGGTCCATTATCATTCTTCACCCTGGTTTTCTTCTTCTCTCAGTTTAGTGAGGCATCATGAGCTATTTGTAGCTTATCAGGGGAATTCTCCCCTCTTGGTGCTCCTTTCTGATGACCAGCCCAGTTAAAATGCCAATTTAAATTCTTCCTGTTTTTTCCCCTGTCGATTCTCTCAGCTCCAGAGATTTGCCAGAGACCCAGTCAACGTAGAGATGATCAGTAACCTCACATTGCCCAGGGAAACAGCCGTGTATTATACCTTGTTACTCACTTCTGCCCCTGGCTTCCAGCTGGCAAGGTAATGCAAACTCCCACCCCCTTCTACAGTTGAACTGGGAGCCAGCTGCAGCGCGTAAAAGGGCAAAAACCGTGGCGTGTACATACGCCCGTGTCGTGTAGCTGAGGCTTTCTGTTGTGGTCATGAGTGCCTCCTTTGAGGTGGATTTTAAAGGGTGATCAATGCAATGCTTTAAAAGTGACCCCTGGGTGGATCAGGTTGTAAACACCCAGGACCAAGGGAAATCAGCACCCTGGTAATACCCCAAAGGGATCATGGGAAATGTGCACTAGATTTGCAAATGTTGGCTTCATTTGTCAGCTGGAACAAACCTTCCCTGTATCACATGCATGCTTTTTTGCCCTCCTTTCCACTTCCAGCCTCCCGGACAAGCTCGTTTGCTATCTCAGCCCTTCTGCTGTGAGCAGCCTCAATAAAAACGAGGCCCTGAATCTGGTTCAGAGGATCAACAAGAACTGTGCTTTGGGTCCACGATCAGGCCCCGATAAGGAGCAAACACCGGCCTCTTCCCTGACGATGGAGGAGCTGCAGGTAATGCTCTGGGCTGGTTTCCAGATGCTCAGCCCTGCAGAGACACCAGTCGCTAAAAGCACATGTGCAGCTCCATGGATTTGTGCTTAGCTCTTGGTAAAGGAAGGTCTATGCATGCCCTTAATACTGACCCTCTGTATGCAATATTTTACAAGCAGCCTGACCCTCCACTGCGGTGGGGAAGTGTCATCATCCCCATCTTACCAATGAAGAAACTGAGGCACAGAGGATTGAGGTCTCTTGAGCAGCCTGTGATTTAGCAACATACGTGAAATATGCTCAGATCTTGCAGTGATGAGTGCAAACTAGGTCTGGGGCAGATAGAAGCAGCCATACCGCCTTCCCCTGCCTTTTCATATCAGCATCTGAATAACATTCAGGGTCTGCAAAGTCTCCGTGGGGAATGGCGAGAGTGCGGACAGGCTGCTGGCTCCACCACTATCGTGTGGGATATCGAGCCCAGGGGCTGTAGATGTCTATAGACCCAAGAGATCCACAGGCGAATTCTTTTGCTGACTTCCTTCTCCGCCCTTGGGGGACCTTTTCAGGTGGCAATGTCGCTGGTGAACAAATTTGATCGGTTCCCTCCTGATGTCCTGAGTGCCTTGGGCCAGATGGCCGTTGGTCTCTCGGCATCACAGATTGAAAACGGCATCTGTGATAAAGACTTCGTGGCTTCTCTTCCATCCCTGAGCAAAGTTCGCGGCTGGAACACGGAGCAGTCCAGCACCATCATTAACAAGCTGTTCAACTCCAGCTATCAGGTACCGAGAGCACAGACCCCGTGTGTTTGTGACGCTTGCTCTATCGCACCTCTGGCTCTAATAGGCGGAGGCATGGACCATATATTCCCATCCACTCATTATATCATCTTTCAGGTTGTTGATGGTCAAAGCCTTGCAGCGCTAGGGAGCCTGGCAGCTGGTTTAAGCAGCAGGAGACTTCAAAGCTTGCCTTCCAAAGTGGTCTTGGAAGCTATGAAGATGCCTGAGTTTGTCGAGCAGATTGGGACCATGCCATCTGCTCTGAAAACCGTGCTGGTGGAAAAGGTGAAGTCTGTTTGTTTTCCAAGGTGGTGCCCAGGGCTTGGAAGAGCCAGCGTGACTCAGACACAGGGGAACGCTGCGTTGTGAATACACACAGGCATGCACTGACACATACACACCGACCGAGGCTCTTTCCCCCAGAGCTTACGTACGTAGGTGCTGATAAGTTTGTACAGCGGGGTCATGGATTAGTTTCCTCTCCATCTTTGCAATGTGCATGATTGATGATGGTTATGGCTGGCAACCAAGGATAACACATAATCAAGTATGACGCCTCTCCTGGTTGTCTGTACGGTACTATTTATAGATTCATCGCTGTTAGGGGGTGGAAGGGACCTTATGGAGGAAGGTGTCATAAAAGTTGGACCTGCAGGTTTCATGGAAGTGTCCACTCCCAGGGAGAGAGGAATTAAAGACAGGTGATGGTTTTTGAATGCATGTAAATCATTGTGAAGGCCACACACAGACCATTGTAGGGCTGAAGCATATTGCAAAAGTGAGCTGTGATAACCGGCTCCTTTCTGTACATACTAATTCGAGGGAGTGAATGTGCACATCGTTACTGCAGTGACTTGAAGTCAGACCATCTGCTCAACTTTTGACTTGGTCTTCACCCCAGTTTTATACGTGAGCTCACACGGGATGCATTGCTCCCCTTGCTCTTCAATACTCCTGGTAACAGGAGAGACTTACCTTAGACCTTGTGCCTCTAGGAGACAATCTATACCTGCATCCTAAGTGTGGCTGTTTCCTTTAGACTGGTTAAAGAAGAAATACCTCCCCACCACAGCATTTCCATGCTCTAACACCATTTGCAGGCCCAGGTATTTAGGGCAAGAGTTGGGCATTTGACTGGTCAAACAAAGTTTGGTCAATTGACGGGTCAACTATGGGCCAAAAATTGTAAAAAATAAAATAAAATTGCCAGTCGGTCCAAATATTACACAGAAAAAGCACCAATTTTCCATTAAGAAATGTGTCACAAAACAAAAAAAAATCATATTTCTGTCAAGAAAACTAGAAAAAAAAAGCGGGGGGTTTTGTAAATCTTTGACCGGTCCAAAAATATGCAGTGAATTGACCAGTACAGTTGACAATAATTGACCAGCTTGCCAACCCTAATTTAGGGGAAACCACCCCCGCTCCATTTCTGGCATGCTGAACCATTTTAAAGCAAACAGCCAGTAATTCAAAGGAACTGTTTTTTTGCTCCGTCTTCCTGGGTCACACAGAGTTTACCCCCCTTGCTAATCAGTGGTTGTTGTTACCTGGCAGCCCTGTCTACCATCAGTACCCCCGGATGGACCTGACGGCTCCTCCAGCCTGAGACACGGTGACGTGCTGGGTGTCAGCTGGCAAATGCCCAGAGGACGAGAAAAAAGCCGTCAGTCTTGTATCTTGCTCTTAATTTCTTCACCAACCATTGCCACATCTAACCTCAGTGCATGGGGCTGTTTTATATATTTTTTAGATGTCTTCAGCTATAAGCAGTCCCATCGACCTGATAAAATATGTCCCAGATGCTCTGGTTGACCACATCCCCAAATCCTTGCTGGTCTTCGGTAATTTGAGGCCCCGCGTTCAAGATCTCAACCAGAAATCATGGAGCCGGGAACAAGTAAGGCACTGGCAGTTTTCTTGTCTTTGTTTCTTTCTTGGGATAGGACTTTGGTTATGCTCTGACCTGGTCTGACAATACAGCTAATGTAGCTATCTGTATAGAGAGGGGAAAGAAAACTTGACAAAGCACTTAACCCTCTTTTTGCCTTGGTTTTGACAGGCTGCCATGTTTTTTGATGATGTGATAAAGGATGAGCCCGACTTCAACAGGTAGCATTTCTTCCATCGATATTGGTTGAGTTGTTGCCCTATTAGGCAAATTTATCCATAGCAAGAGAGAAGGAAGGCCCTGGAGCCCAAGCAAGAATGGCTTTAGCCCATGGTTGGACAAAATTGTCCATAGACTTGGTTTGCTTTCTCACGTGAAGGTTTCTGAGCTAGACTCCACTTAGAAACCTTGCCATGCTTTTCATTATCTGCAGAAAACCTTTCTTTGGTGAACATGTATCGCTGTTGCACAGTTTTGTTCCAATAACTAATATCTGTTGGGGCTGTGTCTGCCTCTCCCGGTGTTGTGTGATTAGAAGCATGATAAAATCAGCATCACTATTTACACTCATTTCACTCCAGGCTTTTTTTTTTTTAAATACGTAAAGCAAGGCACTTTCAAAGGGCTCTTGTCTAGCAGGTGGCCTCTTGAAGAGAGAATGGAGGTTCCTCCTCGTCAGCTAGCTTCTTGTAGGCATTACTGGGGGCAGTAAATGCAGGCATGCGATGAATGAGAGCAACAAACCTTTATCTGTGGGTAACAACGTCTGCAAATGCTGAGAGAAAAAGGTCTGTCTCTGGGTGACTGGCTAGTTGCCCTCTGAGGGATCAGCTCCTAATTCCCAGCTCCCACACTCTCAGTTAAGGAACGTCTCTAAACCCGAACGCCAGTCACTACACTACTCCCCTGGGCTACGGGTCGTGGACCACCATCTACGTCTGCAGTACAAGTTCCAGTCCATTTAGCTGAAGATGGTCTCACGGGCACGTGGAGTCTTTTGCGACATGCACCTGTGATGGATTTGCCACGATAAAACTAAGTTTCATAGAACAATTGGCCACAATTAAACCAAAATGCATCAGAGGCGGTCTAAGTTGCAATGCTCAAATCCATTTTGGCATGAAAAACCAGCGTGCACGTGTACACGGTGATGCCGTTATGCTAGGCAAACGGCCATTTTTTGCCACTCTTCGTCATGCGTACAAGTGCCCTTTGGGCAGAACTTTTGCTCCACCTGTCAGCTTAGTTTTGAGGACACCAAGTTGGGGAGATCATAGATTTGAAGGGGATTTGGGACTGTGTATATTAGTGCTAGAAGGTCAGTGCCCTGAAGCTCTCCCTCACCACAGCTCTCCTGCTTCCTTTGGGTCTCTCAGGCTTTCTCCTTCCGTCCTCCAAGGCTTCACCTGTGCAGCTGCCAACGAGATGGAAACGGAAACATTTCAGCAGCTTGCCAAAACCATGAAGCAGAAGAACGTCAGGCTAGGAGAAGAGCAGGTCAGTCCCTCCACCGAGGTGGCGCGTAGTTCTTTCTGTAAAGAAGCTCCCAAATCCTTTATCAAGGACCCACAGCTGCAGACTTGATGGGGCTGGATGGGTCTTAGATCTGAAGCGCATCTGATTCTGGCATGTTTTATTTGGCAAATGCAAGGCCCGACAAGTGTTTTCAAAAACCAGACCCTCCCCGCTGTTTCTGCCTCTCTCTATTTTTTGAGCACTGTTTTTGTTTTATTGGTATTTTCCCTTCTTTCATATGAACTCTGCTCTCTTTCCAGCTGCGGTGTTTAGTTAAGAGGGTGACAGCACATGGCATTCCCAAGGATTTAGACAACTACCCTAAAGACCTGTTGCTGTTTCTAAGGTACCGTGGCACTGCTGTCCATCCCACTGTTTTATTCTAACGGTATAGACATTGAGAAGAGAGTAGTCATATTTCCTGAATTACCTATCAATGCATCTACCCCTATTCATTCGCACTGCATTTATCCCCGAGGTATCTCAGGAAGATTAGCTAAGCAGAATGAAATGCAAAACTAGAAAACCTGCAGGAAAGGAAAAGATGAATGCAATTTTAAACTTCCTTCAGCCACCGCACTCCAGTGTGATATTAGTGGAAGGCACAGATCTCTTTTGCAGACTATGTTTGAATTGACAGCGTCCCTTTGAAACTACAGGGATTTTTTTCTAGTGTGAATTTTTATGACCTATGACTAGAGAAGCCCATTGTTCAGCTCATTCCCTGGGCTTCTGCATCCAGAGCAGCACACATGAACAACACTATCTTGGGTCTCAGAGGTAGACTCCCTAGGGAGAAAATGAATTGAACGGAGAAGTCTTCCAAGGGTCTCTGGCAGCTGAAACAGGCCGTGCAATATGGAAGTTATGATCCAGGTGTTTCAAATGAGGGAGGTTTGAACCTAGCTTGATTCCTCTTTTAATGCGATGCCGTCTGAATTCATGGAGCATCTGTATTTCTAGCCCTTCGGATTACGCAGCGACAGGAAGCTGTAGGCAGTACTTCCTTAATGTTGGGGAAGCAAACCTTGGCGTTCTGCAGAGAGACTCCCCGCAGGGCAAACAGCTGCTCCTGGAGGCCTTGGCTTGTTTGGTACGTATTCGGTAATGCAGACGAGCAGTCCAGGTGCTGAACGGGGACTGCTGACCGCGACTCTGTGCTAAATGGAAAAAGCGTTGGATATGAAGTTTTAACCGCTGATGTTGAAAATCAACAGACCCCAAATGATACTGTATAAGGTGGCATAGCCTTTTCCGCTAGACCAGCGGTTTTCAACCTGTGGTCCGTGGACCTCTTGGGGTCCACAGATTATGTCTAAGGGGTCCACCAAAGGTGGTAATGGTGCATCAGAAGTATGAGTATCCACACTTATAAGGGGAACACACCTCCAGTTGAAATTTTTTAGGGGTCCACAAATGAAAAAGGTTTTAAAGCACTGCTCTAGACCAAGGCAGGTGAATTTTCTATTCCTCAAGCTACCGGAGATCTGTTAGCACAGACAAAATACATTTCTTCCCATGCTGGACTGAATAGATTGATGCGATTCACTCCACACTTCAAGGGAACGACGATGACTATGTCAGGGATCCCCTGCATGGGGTGAAATCACGACCGATTGTCTGGGTGCCACAGGTCCCGTGTTGCTCATAGTTAATGGAGGGTGTCTTTCAGTTCAAGTCACAAAGTCCTGTGGTTGTGGAGCAAAAGGTCTTGAGGTCTACGCCGGGTAGCAAAAGGGCCCCTGTAGATGCTGCGGTTGGTGGACATGAGTTTGAGATCCCACCATGGCAAGGAAGGTCTCTGGTTCATGGTTTTCAAAGATGCGACTCCCACATGCATTGAGAGTGTAGAAATGAAAACCACCACCTGAAAAGAAGGGTTGAATCAAACCTGGAGTTTGTCTTCCCATGTTTTACCCTTAGTCTCCACATCATGAAACTATGCGTGAAGCCTAGCAAGGCCCAGACCGCATCCTAGCAAAGGCCAAATACAAAGGCAAACATCAGCAGCCGGCCTCTATAATGGGTATGCGGATGAAATGCAGGTCTCACCACCAGCCTTTGGTGCTGGACTGGGTCTCCCTTCTTGGGGCGCTGTCAGCAGAACAGTGAATTCTCCATATGCCCTGTATCAGGAGCCAGCTTTCTTCCCTTTTTATTTAACGTGGCTGTTTCCTTAATTCAGAAAATCCCGGGCACCCACGTGAGCGAAGACAAGGCAAGGGTGCTGGGGCATCTTGTCTGCGCCCTCGGCGGTGAGTACATTCGAAGTTCTGGTGGGAGTTTGCTGAAGCAGCTAAACCAGTGTGACTCCTTCACGCCTGATCAAGAAGAGGCTATTCGGGATGTCATCAGCAATGGGACCACGCCATTTGGGTAGGGTCGCCGTTGGATTGTCTCCTACTGGGGTTTCCGGAGTGGTGGAAAGGGTAAATGAAATAATAGCCTAGCACTACACGCTGTCGGCGACATCAGAAGCTCAAAAAAGTTCATTTTGCTTAATTTATTTTTCACCTAAATTTGGGCTCCTGAAAGCCACATTTCCTCAGCGAGGTTTCTAATCCAGCTGCAAGCTGCAAGTCTCTTGACTGTCTTAGCAGGCCCGAATCTGTCCAGTCCTTGCAAACAAAAAAGGCCGACGGGGAAAATGAATTGACCAAGGTTTTCTGAGAAAGTTTGAGTCTGGTTCAGCTGGGGCGGGCATGACGATCTGGTGGCCACTGCACCTCTGGATCCTGGGTCACCACCTTTTTCAAGGGAAATCATTGAGTCTTTTCGTGCCCTTTTCCCTCCTTTAGTAGAGGGATGACAATAGTTTCCTTCCTCGGGTGTGGTGCTTTGAGGTTCTGTCTGTTGTAAAAATTGCAAGTATTTTTGCTCTTTGTGGTTAGGGTTAATATATTCATTGCACGCAGTTTGCCCACCCAAGATTCAGTAAGGATTTCTCTGGCTCTGCTAGAGCCAAGGTAACCCCAGTGGGAAGTGGTGAGATGGGGTTGGGAATTCAAATACTTCTATTCTTTGCTTCATATGCGACAAGCACATAGCCCCGGGGCTTCTGGAGCTCAAATCCTGGAAGATGATTTGCATTTCCTTGCTTTTCAGTCCTCCTTCAACGTGGTCGGCTTCTACCCTGAGCGAGCTCAGCGGATTGTTCCTGATCCTCGATCAGAGCATCTTGCACAAGATCCCCCGGGTACGTTGCCAACAGGCATCTCGTTGCTTTTTCGACACGTAATGATTTTAAACCGTATCCAAGGCGAGTGAGCTCTGGCGGTGCTCCCTATTCAATCAATGGCAAAACTCCCAGGGGTGTTGCCAGTGCCTGGTGAGAAGATTGTTGCTTAATTACTGTCATGATTAATTACAGACTGCTTAATTACTGTCATGCTTGGGTTTATTGAAGGACCAGTTTGTGGGGGGTTAGTAAAGTAGGTTTTTCAGGGGAACCAGGCACAGCAATGATCTAGATGACAGCCTTCTCCACTTGCAGCGGAGGCAGAGCTCAGGTTCATCCAGTGTGACTTCAATAACATAGGGCACATCAGACAACGGCGTGTTGGTGGTGCGTGGGTCGTGTGTGCAACACAGCACTTGTGAACTTGCCTCTGCCAGGGGATCAATTGCGTTGGTTCATTGATCGCTGGTTTTGGGGTGGGAGGAGGTGAGGACATACGCCGATGGCATGAAACGACCCAGGATGTGCCACACCTCTCTGCCCTCGCCTTTTCCTTCCAGGACGTTTTTGACCCTTGGCTGAGAAACTTCCTGAACAATTCACCTCTGTCAAGGGAGCAGCTGGCCTCTGTGGTTAAAAAACTCCAGCCTTCCCGGTGGAGACGCGCTGGTACGTGGGCTGCTTTGTCTGTATATCGATTTTAGCCTTCGGCTCTTCTGTCTTCTGGTTCCTCGCGTGCCCGCAACAGGGCGGCTGGGCCTAGAAATCAAGGGACTTCTGCAAAATGAGCTGCTCCACGTGTTGCACAACACTGTACGTCCCCACACCCAACCCCGTGCAGAGACACCAAGGGGCTTAGGTGCCACATGGGCACAGGTCAGTGCCAAGGTGCTTCTGGGCATCTTGACATTCGTGAAGGCAAAGGGCAGCCTGCAGGGCAGGTATGCGAGGGAACGGGGAAGGCAAAAGGAAGCCGTCCCTATAGACAGCATCCCACCCCACCTCCCCTGCCAGTCTGGGCATAATCCCCAACTTGCCAAGAAGGACAGCATGAAGGACTGATGGAGATGGAGCCATAACTCCCTTCTCACTAACACGGGTTGCAATCCCCTCTCCAGACGTCCTTGCTGATGCTTGCAGGGCCCTGCAGCTCCAAATGGCACGGGTCAGCTCTAGACCCAGGGTAGCTGATCGGGCAGGGTGACAACCTTTCCCACCAGAGACATCTGATCTTTGCTCCAACAGTTTGTCCCTCCGACAAGACAATCACAGATGAGGTGGTAATGGATGAGCTGATGCCTATTAACTATAGTCCTCAGGACTTACAGGCTTGCCTGACAGCTGACATCCTAAAGAAGCATCTCGCTCGACTGTTGAGTTACCCCTTCACCGATGAGCATCTGTCTGTGCTGAAGAATAAGCTGGATGAGGTAAAGCCTGGTTGAAGGGCACCGGGGTATCTGCTCAGGCCGTGGCTTTGAGGCAGTAGCTGTCAGGAAAGAGACCCAAAAAATCAGGACAGCCGGCGTGACGGGCTGTGCCTATATTTGAGCACGGTGCTGAGTGGAAATCACGAGAGTGATGTCCAGGGGCCTTCATATAGGAGCCTGGGGAGAGGAATTTGGGAACATGCAGGGAAAGGGGCCGGGCATACTCATGCACTCCCGAGTCTCCGGAGCCCTTCTCCATCGGTTATTCGGCAAGGGGCATCCATTTAATCTTGGCAAACCGAGTGAGCTAATAATCTGTCCTCAGGCCTATCCCGACGGGTACCCTGAGAGGATACTCCCCGAACTCGGAGCCATCACCGCCTTGATCACCATCAATGATACTAAGAAGTGGAATATAAGCTCAGCAGACACGCTCGCCGCCTTGCTTTCCACTGAGCCTCCTGAGATGCAGGTGAGCAAGGAGTGACGGGGACCGCCTGCCTGGGGGAGCTTGCTTCCCAGTTTGCAAGATGCTGATGTGACTGGGAGTCTCTTATTTTATTAATCCTCCTCCACTTAATCAACCTGCTTGTATTTTTGGGCTCGAATTTCGCTTTGCCCTTGGAGACAGGAAGCGCTTGAGGTTTTTCTTGGGGTGTTGGTTGTTGGGGTTGCGTGAGATTTTTCTTGACACGTAAGGTGAATCGATGCATCTTGTTTTGCTAACGGCACTTGTAGGCGCGTGAAATAATCAAGCGGTACACGGACCTGGGAAACCCCCTGAACACCTCTGCTCTGAATGCGGTCGGTACGAGATACGTGTGTCTTCTAGATGAGATGCAGCTGAACGCGATAGAGCCCAGCGCCTTGGAGTGAGTGAAGTATTTCTTTGTTGCTTATACGTTCCCTCTCCCATCCAGCCAAACCCGGCTCCGCTGCACGTCATCCACTGAAAGCTAATGCAGGAAGCAGTGAGAAAACCTACATTAGTGGTTAAGCCTGGGAGTCGGGGCCTGTATTCCCAGCTCTTTGGGGATGTCACTCAACTTTTCGGTGTCTCCGCTACAATCCCAGACTCCTCCCGGCGGGATGAAGGGATGGTGGGGGTGCAGGGGCTACATACAGAAGCTCAGATAAATGTTTGTGACTTTCTTAAAGAAAAGGCAGATGCCAGCTCGTGTCTTCCTGAATCTTGCTTTTTTTTCTGCAGAATGGCCTCTTTGGACCCCTCAAAGTGTTCTCAGCGTACAAAAGACATCTTGTACCCCAAAGCTAAACATGCTTTCTCAGGAAAGCGCACTGAGTTCCCCGCTTACTACAACCTTATCAAGCCATACTTGGGTAAGCAGAAGCATTGGCCCACCAAAAAGTGATTGCTCTTCAGCCTGCCTTGGGCTGAACTTGCATCTTTGAAGGTCCACGAAGTTTGGCAGGGTCCAGCTCTGCATTTTGGAAAGCACTTGCTGGCGGGGGAAGAGGGGCAGGAGTGGATCTGTCTTCCTGATTCAAAATCCTCCAGATGTTTGTATGAAATACCAGTAAACCCAAAGCACTTAGCCTCTTATCCGTTTAGCAGCCTGCCCTTGGATGGGAGAGGCTTGTTCTAGAGATCGATTTGCTGGTATTTAGTTTGGCGATCACTACAAAGCACTTTATATGCTAAGTTCTCATCTCTTCCCACTATTGGAAAACTCTGCTGGTTGCATGAAAGCTGGATATGCCATGTAGGGATATTCCAGGATTGAGCCACCTGGGCTAGTAAGTTATTTATTGTCCTATGCAGGCTGGAAACTCTCTTCCCCTTAGAGTGGTAGTTGTTTGCACCCTGCGTCCCCACTATGCATCATGGGGAAAGCACGTACCTATTGCGACTTCACTGATTTTAGAGGGAATATAGGGATCCTGCGGGGTTTGTTGCAGGACATCTGCCCTGCATACACGTTCTCTCCTGCCCCAGGCGGTGCCCCTGCGGAGGACTTACGAGCTCTGAGCAACAACAGCGTGAACATGGATATTGGGACCTTCACGAAACTGAGACGAGACTCCGTGTTGGTGAGTTTGGCTGTGCTGTAAAAGGTGGCTGCCCATCACATCCGTGACCTGCTGGATGCCATTAATGCTGGCATACATCAGGAGTCATTGCACCCAACTCCAGAGAGATCACAGCCAGCTCTGGCTGCGGTTCCCTCCTGCCACAGGTTGAGCCCTCATTTTGGTTGCTTACTTATACTTACCAAAGGATGCCTCAAAATCAGGCTGTCAGGGTTGGATCCAGGAATCCTTCTGGGCCTGATAGAAACACCTCCTTCCAAGAGATGCCATTGCCTGCCCCAAAAAGTTGCGTTCCCAGTCTTCTGGCTTTGGGCTGGGTGAGAAATAGGAGTCTCAGTAACCTTCGTTACTCAGATTGCTATTTTGATTTCCCCTAGGCTCTAACCACTGACCAGGTGAAGGGCCTGCTAGGAGTAAATGTGAAAGACCTGAAGGATGCACAGTACACTTCTTCACTCATAAAGGAGTGGATCAGCCTGCAGAAACAGCCAGACTTGGATAAGCTGGGCCTGGGGCTCACCGGGGGAACTCCAGATGGCTACATCATTGTTACACCCCCGTCCAAATGTATGTATTCTGCGGCCTTTGTTTTCCTCTAATTGGGCTTATGCCTCTCCTCGGTCTGAAAAAGAAGGGAGCAAATAATGAGGGTTTCCTATTGGAAAGTTTAGAGGGAAAAGTTACGACTTCCACAATCACATGTGCATAAAGAGCATCTGGATGCAGAGTGCAGCGCCATCGCTTCCCAGGGTTTTGGATCCACCGAATAAAGGGCAAGCATTGGCACGGTCAGCAACTTGATAGCATTGCTGAAAACCATCCTGCTGACCAGAGCTCCCAACAGAATTGACCCATCACTTCCAAAGCATTGCATCCCAGCATCTTGGGTGCAACCTGGGATGGATGGTTTGGGATGAGTCCTGGTAAGAGACCCCAAGATCTCCCTTAGACGCTACAGGAGAGGACAGTAAACAGTAAGGTTGAGGAGTTTTCAGTTCCTCATCAGCTCTGTTTCTTGTCTCTCTAGCAACATCACCAGGCTCTACGAATGCCAGTGCCAATGCCCGTGGCAATGCCCTCCACCTCCTAGCCGTGCTGCTCCTCAGTTCCCTGCTGACTTTGCTCCTATCATAAACCCCCACCCCAAGCAAAGGAAGGCTGTGGGAACCACTGCTTGACTTCTCCATGGCCTGACACAGGAGGACGGAGAAATGCTAAGTCAACAGGCAACAACGTGGTTATGAAGTGTGCCTTTCTGGCGCTATTGGTTTACTCACTAGATCAAGTCTGAAAACAAGATTGAAAGCTCTTCCAAAAGGACAAGTACCATCTTAGCTACTCTGTTTGTGCAGCGTTTCTCACAACTGAGCCCTTGGCCTGGAAGCGTGTCCCAGACATGTTACTGCAGTGCCTGAAAGCTTGCAAATAATTGTTTTTTGCAAATCTCTAGTTGGTCTAATAAAAGATATTACCTCTGCCACAAGCTCTGATTCCATGATCAATAAGACACTTTTATTGAATGTTATTTTCTTAGCAGGTGAGGGGGCTGTAGGGTAGACTGGTTTTGGGGGTATCATGTATGTTTGTAGGGTAGACTGTAGTAGGGTAGGCTGTAGGGTAGACTGGTTTTTGGACTGGTATCATGTATGTTTGTAGGGTAGACTGTAGTAGGGTAGGTTGTAGGGTAGACTGGTTTTGGGGGTATCATGCATGTTTGTAGGGTAGACTGTAGTAGGGTAGGTTGTAGGGTAGACTGGTTTTAGACTGGTATCATGCACATTTCAGAATTAATGTATTGAAAAGCCTCGTGTTTCTCCATTTGCAAGGACTGAGAATGGAAATTGCTAGCTGGTTTGGAAAGGGAGAACAGAGTCAGAAATGATGGCAGCGAGAATGAAGGCTCAATAGTACTTTCCTCAGTTCAGTGAAGCGTTGGTTCAGGCCCTATATTGTCTGTGTGCGTTTGTCAAAATACATGTTTAAGAGTCCCGAACATGTCTGTTATTCTTCTCTTGGGTTTTACTTGTCAAACAGGACTGCCCAGGTCTGGCCTCTTGGGTGGGGAATAATGCTCTCTCCAACAGTCGTATGTTTTGCACGTCATGAAAAAAGGATGGTTCGTTACCCTCAATGAGTCAGTCCCCCCAGCCCTTAGTTTTTTGACACACAGTCAAGACCTTCTGCTAACCACACCTGGACAGATGCATTAATGTTTTATTTTGTCTTTCAACTACAGCTGGATTTGACACGACTTTTTTATGACCGGGAAATAGTCAACACTGAAATAAGCAGCCGGAAAGCTTATCTCCAAGATGCTCTTGAACGTTCACGGGGTTTTAAATTGGGTTCAATTTTGGGTGAAAGTTCAGCTCCGTTCTTTGTTTCCAAGGCAGGGTCAGAGCTCTACCGTGAATTGTACGCGTAACGTGCCGAGACCGGTCCGGATCAGACCAGCGAAACGTGTCTTGTCAAGGGGAAAGCTTGATTACAAAGACAACCTTTATGTTGGCTTAAAGCTCACTCTTCCCCTGCTGAGCAAACAGAGGACGAAGTCATGAACTACTAAACATTAGCAATCCCCTGTGGCTTTTCTCAGGCATCCTGAGACCCAGAGAGTGACCACAGAGGAGTCGTTTTGGAGCATGGTCCTTGGTGTCTCCAGGTTTGGAGCGGGAAGAGGGAGGGGATGGCAGGGGCATGCTTTGGAAAGTCCACCAGGAC